CCCGACAGGAAGAAGCCGCGCGTCCCCCCGCGACATGCCAAGAGGAAAAAGGACCGCCCTGCGGCGGACGTGAACGGCCTGGAGACCAACGTGTGAAGGACGGCGACGACGCCTTTGCCTTTGGCCCTGTTTTCCGCCCCGCAGAATTCTTTCTGATCTGCGGGCGGACCGGAACTAGAACCGCGCCCGGATCCGTACCGCTGCTGCTTGGACGGAGCTTATGAATCCTTGAGGGACCAAGTCACTCGTTTGATTCTGCCTTAAGACTCCCGGAGCTGCGATTCAACTCACCAGTCCTGTGGAGTGTTGAACGTATGCCATCCATCCGTGGCCATGGGATGTCTCAACCGACCCCTGGATGTGCAAAAACAAAAAAACAGTTCAGTCAATAATGGAATGGAGTCGCGTCACGGCTTGAGGACCAAAACTCTTCCCAAGCGCCCGATGGAATTGCTCCGTCAATGCATCCGTCCGTCCGTCCCTCGATGGCCTCCGGGAAGTCCGCACATCGGGTGTCTGCCTCTGTGGATCGCAAGCAGCTTCAAGCTAAGTTTTGAGTCTCCACCAAAATGTTCTCCACGGTCAAATGGCGGCGGCCCGGTGGTCGACTGGTCCTCCTCAAAGTGCAGAGGTGAAAGGTTCGATTCCGGTTTGCATGTTCTCATCCGTCCGTCCGTCCCTCGATGGCCTCCGGGAAGTCCGCACATCGGGTGTCTGCCTCTGTGGATCGCAAGCAGCTTCAAGCTAAGTTTTGAGTCTCCACCAAAATGTTCTCCACGGTCAAATGGCGGCGGCCCGGTGGTCGACTGGTCCTCCTCAAAGTGCAGAGGTGAAAGGTTCGATTCCGGTTTGCATGTTCTCCCCGGGCCTGGGTGGCTTTTCTTCGGGTGCTCTGCTTTCCTCCCACTTTCCCAAAACATGCACATTAGGTGAATGGAACAACTCGAAATTGTCCCTTAGTGTGAGTGTGGGCGCTGATGGTCGGCGTTTGTCTACGTGTGCGTCCTGCGATTGGCCGGCCAGTAGGCGGGGTGCACCCTGCCTACTGGCCAAAGACTGCCGGTGGAGGGGCTCTGGCACGCCCGCGACCCACCTCAGGATGAACGAGTTTTTTCAGATGGTGGATGGTTGGATGGCTGGTCAAATGTTTTTTTTATTTATTTTGGATTTTTTTGGAGATCATAGCACTTGCTAGACATGAGGTAGTCGTCGGCATTTTGGGAATACACTGATGCAAATTAAAACTGGGCATATGTGTCATGAGTTTTGATGTGAATGGTTTTATTTTTACATGTTGTGAAAGCCTCAATCCAAAAGGAGCATTTTTTTGGACAACGCTTGCAAGGAGCTGCTGTAGGCCACAGCTCACGCCCGGATGCTCACGTGCAGATTAGTGCGCCTGATGTCAGGCCTCGCCAATTTAAGGTACACATCCGTGTGCAATCGTGATCCTTTCTCAATCAGGTTTATTTGTCTGCATATGGTGCTGGTTTTCTGCATTCCATTTTGCATCTCCCCCCTCCAAAAAAAATCTTTCTTTCCAGGCAACTATACGTAGCGTCAACGGTTTGCAGCCAGGTGCGCAAATAATGGGAGGCCGCTGTCATGTGTCATTTTAATGCAAGTAAACAGAGTGATGAGCTCAGTCGGGGTACTGTTGTAACATTGCAGTCGCTCATATTGCGTTTAAAAAAAAAACAAAACAAGTGCAAGTGCGTGGCAGTGGTAAGTTGCCGTGTTGTTTATATCCTGCCAGACAAAAGCAAAGGCACAATACGTGATATACAGTTCATGCGAATGCATCCACTTCCACGTGGACATTGAACCAGCCCAAGCTAACTTTCATCCGGTATCCCGCACCAGGAATGTCTCGGGAACGCCTCGCCGCTTCAGTCCCGCAAAGTCACTCGGGCTGCTCGTCGTCCTCCTCCTCCTCCTCCTCCTCGTCGCCGTCAGCGCCCGTTCCCGCGCCGCCGCCGATGTCCAGCACCTGGAGCTGGCTCAGGTGGGCCAGCGAGCTCTCGTCCACCGCCGACGCCGACAGACGGTTGAACCTTCCAAGTCAGGTCAGACGCGTAAGCCGTCGTTCGTATGATAGACGGGAGGACGGCAGCCGGCCATATGAGCAAAAGTGTTGGGACACTTTAGCCGGCAGACGCATAGCTGCGCTGCGGCTCTTTTGCGTGGCCAACTTTAGCAATGCTGGAATGAGGTTGCTGCACTTTTTTTTTTTTTCTTCCCACTTTCTGGTGTCCAAACGCCACCGTTTCTTCATCATCTTTTCCATTTCCTGCAATTATCCCAAAACGTCTGGACAAACTCATTGCATTTGCTTCAAATTCCACTTCCTGTAGGTGTCCCAATACTTTTGTCACGACTCCAGATTTTTGGGGCTTCTATTTATTTCCTGCAGGTGTCGCTATACTCTTGTCCGAACGCCACAGTGCTCGCATTTGCATCCCAGTGTTGTTTCCAAACTTTTTTTTTCTTTGACTTTTCACTTCCCCTGATCCAAACTGGACACTTTTTTCACTGTTCACTTCCTGTAGGTATCCTCATACAATTCTCACTTACTCGACTTTTTTTGTACGTCGGGTGGATGTACTTTGGTCTCAACGTGACATTTTCATCACTTTTCCATGTCGCAAAATCCAATGGCGACCCCCCACTCCTCACTTTGTCCAAACTCTACATTTTCTACAGTGCCCGGGGTCAGATTCAATACGAACAAACCGATCGCAATGCCAATTGACCTGCTCGGGATGATCAAGAATATTTGCGATTTTTCAATCGACGAATAGTGGGAGCAACGCATGTGGACTGATCACGTTCATCTGTGGTTTCTCCTCAACAAAATGGACCGATTGAGACACTTAGAGTTGCAGTCGTAGAAGAAAAAGTCGACCCTTCTTCCTTTGTCTGTATTGCACTGCCTCTCGGTCGTCGCGATGGGCATGCCGGAAGGAGCGGCGCAATGAATTTGATTGCGGCCTTCTCTCGCCAGGCGCCGGCTTTTCACTTGCTGACATTGGATCTATCTTGACGACGCTGCGTTTTTACGAAGTACGCTGTTACGGAGTGCTCAAGACACCCAAAGCGCTGGCGTTTGGGAGGCAAAGTCACGCGGTGATTGTTGCGAATGCTTTCCCGGTAGCCTTCATGCTCAGCTACTTGAGATGTGGGCGTGGTCTTACCGCAGGTATATCCCTTTGAGATTGGGAGTGCCTTCGAAGGCGGAGACGGGAATGCTGGCGATACGGTTCCTCTGGAGGTAAAGGTACTCCAACGACTCGGGCAGGTCGGCCGGGACGTGCGACAGCAAGTTGCTGGACAGGTCCAATGTCTACAAGGATCATCAGAGAAACCGCGACAAAAGCCTTGCAAAACTGCCATTTTTGACCATTGTTCCGTGCGAAAGGGGAGGATGGCGCAAAGCCGTGACTGCGGTGTGAAGCTTTTCACGCCAAGTACCCCACAATAACTTTTGCCAGCTTGCTGCGGTGAAAGCGTTTGTTGACTGCCAACATCTACTTGCTGTAAAAGATACAGATATGGAATGGGGGGGTGGTGGTGGGGGGTGATCACTTTCTGGATTTTTGAGGTAGCATCAGAGGTGGGACGGCGGCTGTGTGAAGAGGAAAGGCGGAAAGCTGGGACCGAGTTCTGAAGCTTCGATTACAGCAGGGCTGCCCGACCTTTTTGGACCAAAGAGCCACTGTACTTTTCAAGCAGCCAACTTAGCGCTTCAGAAGCGCTAAGTTGGCAGCTGTGTGGATATCAGGGACTGCCCAATCATGTCCCGTTTTGCCCCCGCCCCGCCCCAATCGACACTCACCGTAAGCGCACCGAGCTCCATCCAGGCCCCCTGGTAGACGGAGTTCAGCCTGAGCTGGTTCTCGCTGAGGATGAGCTTCTGCAGCTTGCCCATGCCCGTCAGCGCTCCGTCCGGGATGGAGGCCAGCCGGTTGTTCTTCACCTCCAACACCTTCAGGCTGCGAGGGAGGCCGACGGGCAGCGAGTGCAGCGCGTTGCCCGACAGGTGCAGCGTCTCCAGGAGGCGCAGCTTGCGGAAGGCGTCGCGGTGCAGCTTGGCGTTGCTCAGCTGGTTGTAGCTGAGGTTGAGCTCGGTCAGCGTGTAGAGGAGCGCCAGGTCGTTGCGGCCGATTTCCGAGATGGCGTTGTGGAGCAGCATGAGGGTCTTGGCCCGCCGCGGCAGGCCCCGCGGAACGCGCTCCAGCTGGTTGTTGTACATGTGAAGCGTGTGCAGCTTCTTCAGGCCCTGGGAGGGAAAGGAGAGACAACCCAGTGGGAGGAAGCCGGGCGCGCCAGTCGGAAGCGAGCCCCGCGCCGCCGTCAGCGAAATCAAGCGCGTCAACGGCGGTCCGGTCCGAAATTTCAAGTCACGCTTCGGGTCGTGCCATTGGCATGGCCGGGTCAAGTTTACCTGGAAGGCGGAAGGGTGGATGAAGCGCGAGCGCAGCTTGTTGTTGTGCAGCAGGAGGTACTCCAGGTTGCGCACGGAACTGAGGGCGTCCGCCGGGATGCTGCGGATGGAGTTCTTCTCGAGGTGCAGCAGCACCAGGTTGCGAGGCAGACCTTTGGGCATCACGCTCAGGTTGTTGTTGGACAAGTCCAAGCACTCCAGGCTGTTGAGGTGGCTGGAAGACGTCGAGACACCGTCAGACCGCGCGCCTCTCCGGGGAGGCCGCGACCGCCGCTTCGCCCCGACCTGAAGGTCTCGTTGTCCATGCCGTCGTTGCTCAGGAGGTTGTTTTGCAGGTAAAGCTCCCGTAGGTTCCGCAAGCTGTCGAAGGCTCCGGCTGGGATTTTCTCCAGCTTGTTGCTCTGTGAAGGGACACGGCGACGTCAGTGCGGCTCTCTCCGCCGAGGACGAAAAGGCGTCGCGCCGGCGACCTTCAGGTGAAGGCGGTACAGGCTCCGGGGCAGGTTCTTGGGTACGGTCCGCAGGAAGTTGCTGGACATGGTGAGGATCTCCAGGTTGTCCGAAGCGTTGAACATCCCGTCGGGAAGCCCGCCGTCCGTCAACTTGTTGTTGTGGAGATAGACGGACCTGGAAACATTTTGGGGAACCGTCGGACCCGACCTTGATGAAGAGGAACGCGAGCGCCGCGGTCGTACTTCAGGTGGGGCTTGAAGCCAAACGTGTACGGGAAGATCTTGGTCAGCTGATTGGCGGCGAAGTCAGCACTGACCAACGAGGGCGGCAAGGCTTTGGGTGCCGAGGTGAGCTGAAAGAACGAGAGGACTCACTCCTGCGTCAAGTGGCCGAGGAGAGGACCGGACGACACTCTGCGCAGAGCGCAAAGGGGAACTTCGGGGAAGCGCTTGCAACTACCTGGTTGTTGGCCAGGTACAAATACGCCAGCTCTTCTAACATCTCAAAACCTTCGTCTTCCAGGCCTGCAAAGAGAGCATCAAGTCATTGCCTCCAAGGTTTCGACTTTCTACCGCAATTCTCCTCATGAGGATTGCGGCCGAGGTCCGGAAGTCGCCGTGTCTGTCTGTCAGTCAGTCGGTCAACAACTTGGAGTAGCCACCCGTTTGATTCATTGGCTATTCAGCTGGTGGTCAATCAGTCAGTCAATTACTCAGCCAGGTCAGTAACCCTCCCCTAAGCTCACCTAGCTCGTCAGTTGGTAGGGAGGTAGGTGAGCTCGGTCCATCTACTGGTCAGTCGAGTCGTTGCTTTCGAAGCCAGTTAGTTTGTCAGTTCGTCGGTGACTTTGCTCATAAGTTGTCAGTTAGGTGGCGGGTCGGTCGGTTCATGAGTTAGTCGCTCCTTTGTTGGTTTGTTGAGTTGGTCAGTGGGTTTGATGCTCGACAGGCAGTTCTTTCCTAGGTTCTTTTTCATTTTCACATGTCACATCACATTCTACTCTCACTGGGAGCAAGGCAGTGGTCCACCAGATCCAATAGATGGCGCTGTACCGGGAGGGGGAAAAAAACACCCTCGCTGTGTCAGTTTAGTTGTGCTTTGTAACGCGCACTACTGCCACCTACTGGACTGGAGTGGAACGGGAAGTTGTCATTTCAATGTAAATTCCTGACCGTCTGTTGTGAGCCAGTTGTTCTGCAGGTTGAGGGTCTCGAGCAGATGCAGGTGTGACAGGTGCTCCGCCCGTATCGCCTCGATTTTGTTGTTCTGCGGTGGGAGGGAGACAAAAGACGATGGGCGTTTCCGCCCGCAGGCGCAGGTCGCTACGCTGACGGCTTTGCACCTGTAGCGCCAGCTGGCGAGTGGTCGCCGGCAGCCCCGCGGGGAAATCCGTGAGGTCCACTCCGGCGCAGTCCACCGCCCCCTCGGCCGCGCAGCTGCAGTCCGCCGGGCATCGGCCGGGGTCCGGCTTGGCCGCGGCGATCTCCGGCGGCCCGATGGGCTCCTCCCGCCGCGCTCTCGCCGAGATCTGGCCCAGGACCAGCAGTCCGGCCAGCGCCAGCACAACGCTGGCTGTCCGCGGGATGGAATGCTCGGGAAAGGCCATGCTCGCCACGCGGGGCCCCTGTTTGTTCAAGAACCAGGACATACTTTGCTGGAAACCCAACTTTTTTTCTTTTTTTTTTGTCGTCCAACAAGACTCGTGTTCATGGGAATCATCTACGCGGTATGCTGATGTCCACATCCTGATCCTGACTCACTGACTCCAGGCAGGCAGGGGGGATTTCCCAGCATGCACGAGTCCAGAATCATCCCGATTGGCCAAGAACATACAAGGAATCTCTATTGATCTGCTACCCCCACCCCTTAAAAAAAACAATAATCGTAAAAAAAACGTTTCTTGAAGTCATCATAAGTTGCAGGCCTGAGTTTCATTGGCGCAGCTGTCCCCAGATGTAAGGAAGCCCTTTTTCACAAATGACAGGCCAGTCATTCCGAATCAATATTTTTGCACCCCCGGTTTGAGAACCGCCCATTTAGGAGGCGCGGTGACTGCCTATCGCCTTCCATGGCGAAACAGTCGTACTACGTTGTTAACGTGCTCAGATGATTTGAGAAGAGATTGGACCTGTCGCAGCATGGCCGTAAACATGCAAGCGGCCCCCTTTTGGTCCCGTACTTCCACTTGACACGTGACGTCACAAGCGCGTGACACACGTGCCGCCGACAACGAGGACACGCGGGCACACACGAGACACGAGAAGAAACGGACTGACCCGCGGCGGCAGCAGCGGTCGTCTTGCGGCGGACGTCAGACAAACTTGCGCAAATGCTCCCGTCCGCACGCAGCAGCTCCTCGTCCCATAGCAGCAGCAGCAACAGCAGCGGCGGTCTGACGAGAGCTTGCGCAGCCTCCAGATGTCTCACACACACACACACGCAGACACACCACAGGGTGGGCGGGGGGGGGTCACACACCCCCAAGCCGCCCACCCCACCGGGCAAAGGAGGAGGAGGAGGAGACGTGGACACGGTCCTGTTGATTCAAGCGCTCCTTCTGGAGCCAATGAAAAGTCGGTGCGGTCCATCTTGGATTTTGTCGACGGTTGGAGAGGAAAGGCGTGACGGGGATTATTATGGGATGGATGTGATTACGCGGCACATATTGTGTACCATTAGTCACACGGCGTCCCGCCGCACGCTGAGTAGCTCACGCCGCCGCAGCCCTTTATTTGCCTTTTCGAGCGGTTGTTTTGAACCCACGTAGCCTGCGGGAGCCACGCGCTGTGGGAACACCCCACGAAGCAAAGTAACAAACGGTGATGATCGTTACCGTTTTCATTCTTGTTTTGGTTCCGTCGGTAGTCACTCGGTCGGTCGGTGAGTTCGATCCTTGTCAGTCGGTCGGCTGATGGGCACACGGATGGTCGCACTCTTTGCTTTGTCGATTTCTGAGCCGGTTCGTCGCACGTGTTGGGAGAGCGCCAATTACAAGCCTGCGAAAATTGTTGCCCGTCACGTCGCCGTCGCGTCGGGTCGGGCCACCGAACGCTGCAGCGTCGCTTGTTGTTTGGCCAATTGTGCCGCTTAAAAATCGGATTGGAACTGCGGGGATCGTCCAGTCCGAGCTCGGGCTTCCGGTCGATGGCCGCTCTGGCTCCGTCATTTGCGGCCCCGCGTGCGGATTCGAGCAGCGCCTCAAACAACAAGGCGTGCGGCGGAACATTTGAGACCGTTATATTATTGGCAATCTTTGATGCCGACCATAAAAAATCTGTACGAGACTTTCAAACATGGATTGAAATGTCACCGAGACAAACGATAAACTCTGGAATAAGTCGCTATTTCGACTCGAAGAAAAATTTCGGCACGGACAGAAATGGCACCAAAAATTTCTCGCCGTTTCGGTCGAATCCGCAACAACGAATTGTGGGTCATCCGCTTGGGCCGAAGTTTGGAAGGAGGACGCAAAAGGGGGCGACGCGGCAGAGCGCTTGTGAGACTCGGGACACCCCGACACACTCGCGGCCTCAAAGGGAACGCGCAAGCGAGGGGCACAAAGGCGCAAGTGCGTCTGACGTCTCTGCCTACTCACGCGCGTCTGAACCGACGCTAAGCGCCAGAAGAGGGGAAGACCAGCGCGGCTTATTAGCGCTGCCGGGCCTGTCAAGTCGGCGCCAGACCAATCGCTGACGTGTTGCATAACGCACAATGTTACACAACTTGATGATTTATCATCTTTGTCTGCGGCGAGTCGCAGGAAAGCGTTTTTCTGATTGGAAACAGATCTCAGGATGATGCAAGACAAGCTCAATCGCAAACACGTCGCCGCTGTTACATTTCATCTCTGCAGCGCGAGGCCGACGCGCCGCCTCGAAACAACCAGCCACGATACGTTTCTTCTGCTCGACTGACGCGCCGCTCGATTCCTGATTTGTTTCGACGAATCTCAAGAGCACTTGGAAACAGTCCTTCATACCTTGGTCACATCTCGGCCGGGTGACCGGAACGCACTTTACCGTGGAGTCAGCCAATCCTCCACGAAGCGTCTCGGGTTGGTCTAGAACGCCGCCGCTCGCCTCTTGGCTGGCCCCCCTCGCTGCCCATCATTTTTGAGACTGGATTTTGAGGTGGACGGTTTTTGTGCGTTCGACCTTCTTGGTTGTTCATTTGTTGTTTGTTGATCGAATCCTATTTGCCCCGCGTACAGCACTTTGTGTACCGCGGTGGATGTTTTCAAGTGCTCAAGAAACACACTGGAGACTTGAGTTGACAAACGCATGTCGACATCGTGAGCCGCTTTGATTTGTATTCATTTTGTGTGACCAGAAAAATGAGTTGCGTGTCCAAAGTCGACCCCCCAAAAATATTTCTGCAGCTGTTTACTGTCTGTGTCAACAGCAACTGTGGAGGCCACTTTACAGATCAAGAGCAGCGAGGGGATGCTTCAAGACAAACAACCCAAAGCAGAATTCCAATGAAACCACACCAGTGTCCAAAGTGGCGCACTTCCAGACGACCGCGGTTACTTGCTCAACTTGAATGCCGACGCTGAGAAAGCAAACTGAGCGATTCAGTGAGTGACACACACACACACACACACACAGAGTCCGAAAAACTGCAGGTGATCTTCCAAATGTGGGGACGTGAACATGTTCACACTTTTTTTTTTTTTTTTTTTTTTTTTTTTGTTTTGACACAAATCCTGCTGGGCTCCAACACGAGTAATCCCGATGTGAGCACCGAGCAGAAAAGTGGGTCACGTCAACAACACGAGTGCAGCGAGCGCGGCAATCTGGAAGCTTGTGTCAAAAACTGGCACGCAGAAGTGGCTCAAAACACAGTAAATTCTTTCTTGTGATGCACCATTCGTTGTGAGCTACAAAAAAAAAAAAAAAAAAAACACGCAGCATCGCCCGTGTTGTCAAAGAGAGCCGAAAAATCGTCCAGATGATCAAAGGTGGAAGGGACGTAAATTAATACGCCGCTCTGAAATGGAAAACACGTGTCGAAGTCCATTTCTGAGGCCCTCCTGCCTGCCTGAGGTGAGAGGGGGGCCGCATATGTGCAAGTCTCGGGAGGCTCAGCTGGCCCAAGTTACCGCGGTTTAAAAAAAAAAAAAGCAGGTCAACTCATCGCTTGGCTGAAGAAAGTCATCCAGTCCTGTTCAGTCCCGCAAGCCATCTTCTTCAAGTACGACAACTGCTGGCCCCACTCCGCCAAAACAGAATGGGGGGGGGTTATTGACTTTTTTAACAATAGTCATTCTTCAAAGAACGCTGTGCGTGTATCTGACTGTACAGTAAAAGCGAGTTTATTTTCCCAATAGATAAAAAGCTGTAAGATAGCGACCATAGTAGAGTTGCAATTATTAATCAATGAATCTGGCGGTAATGTTCTCAATCAGATTCAAAGCACTTTTATTCACTTTATTCCAAAGAGTACATGATTTCAAACGGCCGGCGCATAAAATGCAAAAGCATGCATTCCGACGGCGTTAGCAAGTTGGTCTCGGTGGCGCCCGCCCATCGGTTTTCTCAAGCGCCGCATCCTCACGAAAGGCCGCGGGGGCGCCGGCAATCACGAGGACGTGCAGGCCGGACCCTTCCAGTCACCTCCCGTGCGTGTATTTGAAATCTGTTGGTCCTTGTTTGCCAGAGTGAAGTTTGGATGACACCAAGGAAAAAGAAGGTCGACGCCTTGCAGACAAGTGAGACCCACGTCGTCTATGTACATTTTTGTTCCCTCCTCAAATGTGGCGGCTTTTATTCAGCTGGTACTCGTGGGACCGGAAGTGGTGTGGAAGTCGCGTGACCGCCGTCCCTCCCCCGCCTGCGGGCGGCTACAGCTTGGCCTTGGCGGGCTGCAGCTGAAGGTTCTGCAACTTCATAGCCAGGCCCATGTTGCCGGTGATCTTCAGCTTGCCCTGGAAGAAGGCCTGCGCGCAAGCAAAACGAGGCCAGAAAATCCTTCAGTGGCTCAACGGTGGGGAAATGAGACCCCTTTCGGCAATACGGTCGACGGCTAAGGCGGAGTTCTGCGCCGGCCTTTGTGGCTTGAGATACGGCGCGTGCCGCAAATCCTCCCTTCCTCGTTGAAAGGAACCAAAGAACCATACGTCCCCAAAACCACTTTTTGTCATTCCGAGTCCTTTGAGAGAAATTCGGGACCCCGCGCAAAGTAACCATAAATCATCCGCCGATGACTTGACATGAGCTTTAAACCGTTGTTGGCTATTGTGCCAATGGGCCCTCCTCGCAATCATGTGAAAAGGGCTTTGCAGATGTGTGGATGTGTTGAAGGTGGCAAAGGTATGAAAATCAAAGCTAATTGCTTGCTTGTTATTGGTTGGCAGCGCCCGTTCACAGTTGGAGACCAAAATGTCAGCATCTATTTTTTTTTTTTTTTTGTTAGACCGATAGCTTGA